CTCTCTCTCTCTGTGTGTGTCTCTCTCTCTCTCCCCCTCTCTCTCTCTCTCTCTCTCACTCTAGCTCTCTCTGTCCCCCCCTCACACACACATTGGTGGATGATCAAACGCCCCAACAATAGACCAGACAATTTTGTTGATTCCCTTCATCCTTGCTTTGGTCCACTTCAGACCGCCTCTGTCGCCACACTCTCCGTAATTGGCAAACATGAAAGGTTGTTGGCTGAAGACCGTGAAAAGATAAGATTACTCCTGCCCCTATTCCGTACCATATGAACTGTGAACATCTCATATTTCTGTCAAACATCTGTCGTCCTTATCTCTCCTTCTTCTTTTCTGTGTATGCTACTCCGAAGTAGCGACACCTCTAATCTTCGGCACTTAAATGACCCATTTGTGTTACAAGTGCCGTAAAACTCTTACTATAAAAAGAACATCTAATATTTCTAAACACGTCCGTTTTGCAACAGGTCCCGTATAAACGACTATGTGTGAACGAACTTTGAAATGCTGAACAAAAAATCATTTCAGATGGTGTCAAAAATGACAGAAAATCGCCTCGACATCTTGCAATTAGGACCCTATCTCGGCGACAAATCTTGTTTCTCTCATTTAAAACTCGGCTGCTTTGGCCTCCAATGTTCCGGAAATCCATTGATAAAAACCGCTTAATATCTCATCGTTTGACGCCTGGTGTAAGGGCTCGTGACTTTGCTCGGAGTTTGGACACCGAAGACATTATTACCCCTAGATATTGACGCGTCCTTCAAAGAAATCTGTACCTGTTTGCTCGCTGTATTGTGCCCATTGTTCTTGGGCTGCCTCACATTGCTTGTTTATGGCTCAGACGGCTTCCAATAAATCTATCTGGGTCGCGGACCTGGCTAATGATGATGATGATGATAGTGATGATAATGGGGGCCCATGGTAGGGTTGGTGGAGAGGGGGGAAGGGATCTAAGTTGTATCGATGAAAGACATAAAAAATATGCTGTATTAAAAGAGGCGGAAGAGCCTGGAGTCTAAAAAAATGGAGGTGGGAGGGATGGAAAACTAGATATGGGGAGGGGG